TAGAGTGAGTGACAATAAGCATAGACAGGCCCACACATAGTACATGCTCAATGTACTGTAGTTTTCCTAAAACTAGGACAAAAAAGTTCCTTTTGTTCACAAACACTCTTATGGTTTTCATATCTTTGATACACCTATCAGGTATTAAACACTGAAGGGACTAATAAAAGGTAATAATCTTTTCATAGATTTATGTTGACTTCTGTGTACAATGATGTAGTAGATGTGTGGAGGATGATGGTTAACATTGGTTGTGCTATAAGAATTCACTCCCATTGCAAATATGAGCTTGTAAATATATACTTCAGTGGCTTGTGCCTTGTGTGTTTGCAGACTGTTTCATCATTTTTGTCTTGGATGCTAGCGAGCTGTTGATTTCTTCACCACAAAACTGCTCATGGAAAAGTAAAGAAGCCACATGACCTTGTCTGGTATTTCCTAACCAGTGGGGTGTGTACCAGCTTAAAGTTCATAGACAGCTTGTACTCTGCTGCTACAAAACAGCTCCCAACGAACATTGAGTTCATAGGTCTGAATAGTTATGCAATCAACATTTTTCAGTTTTCTTCTCTTCTTTGATTTTTGCTGACATTTACTGCAACTCAATTTACCCTTGGAAGGCTTCAGGCTGAACATTCAGGTTTTGAGTAAAGGTTCATTTTGTAAATGTACACAACGGGACTGTCACGCGAGCCGTTTTGCAGACGTTAGTGATCTCACCACCAGCCTGTCTCCTTCCGCCGGCTGTCGCAAAAAACCCATCACTGGAGTCAGTCTATGACCACACCCGTTCAAGGTGCTCCTCTGAATAAACACCCGGACCTGATCGAGCTGGGCACTCTGTCATCGAGCTGGATTAGCCTAGCTTGTACTCCTCGCTTTGTCCCGGACCATCTTCCCAGATCATCTCCCTGGCTTTGAATTTGGACTGAAACTTGATCGTGACTGCCGGATCTGCCCCTGCCCTTTGTAACCACGTCTCCCCCCGGCTACGAACCTTTCCTTGTCTTGGACTGCGGATCTGGGCTGTGCCTGCCTGCATCATGCACCAGCTCCCTGGCTAGCCACAGCACCACATCTGCCTGCATGCATGAGCACTCAGCTCCCCAGTCTGCAAGCAGCCTGCTCCCCAGCTCCGGAGTGTGCATCCCCCACCCCCTCTCCCTCTGGTCTGGGTAATGCATAAGCTCTGGGCAACTCCCTGTGTGCTGTTTGTGGGCTCCCCAACTCAGCTGCCTCTTGCCTGCCACTTGGGCTCTTTAGCACTCCTGGATATTACAGGGTCTCCACAGGAAGGGTCTGAAGACTTCTGCAAGGCACTGAATATAAGAATATAATATATGTGTGAATATACTATGTGTACAGTATACAGTATGTGTAATCAGAAAATCAGCAGCTGAAATTTGATACATCGGTCAAATTCTGATAATGCTACCATTCCTACAGTAGGTACACAACAAAGCTCTGGAGGTTGTTCACACTCATGGCACAATTTACAAATGTAGAGGAAACTCCTGCTGGCCACAAATGTGGTCACTCCAGTGCAGCCACCTTCTGATACACACAGACCTTGGCTGATGACCCCTATGGAAGATATGGACAGAGAAGGAGGATAAAGGAACTGGAGACTTGATGTGCCTATGTTATGCAAAGAACTGCATTGTATTTGTAGAGATAATGACTTCACACTTAGTGGCGAATCATTCATGCAATTCAGGATCGGTTTTGCAAGAAGACATGATGCAATCTGCATGCACTCTGTACCACAGCCAGAGGAGGCAGGAGGTGACCACTGGTGCACAGAACTGGGCCAACCCCATCAAGCTACTTTCGGAAAGCCTCAACACTGGCGAATTAAAGACAGGGATATAAATGAATAATGAAACCATGTTACCAAAAAAGGAAAAAAAAGTGCTGTGGAATGAGTCATGTCATATTTGAATTTATTAAGTTTCAGTGAGATTGCATCTTCAATTAAAAACAAAATACTTATGTGATCATTACCCTGGGAATCTTAGTAACCTCATGAATGCACAGCAGGTTGCTTGGCCTTGCAGTTCAACAACCCCAGAAAATGCCAAATGATACAGTATAAATGTCATGGCTCTTATGGTGTATAATGAGTTCTTGTAAATGCAAGGAGAAGTAAATTAAACTGCATCTTTTCCTCGAAATAGCATTTCTGTTTTTTTTTCTCATAACCGGCTTGGCAATGAATAGAATAAAGCCTGAAATTATACACATTTCATGCCAGTACTTTCTGCATCCATGCTGAATTGAGAAACAGACCAACATGTACACAATTCTTTCAAGATAAAGAGAAAATGCGCCCTAACAGACTTTAACTGTATTTTCAGGAGAGTTAGTGTTTTTCTCTCCTTTGAGCGCTTTATGATTTGAACTTGTTTTGTCAGGATACACTTTAACCATTTTCAGATCACATTTTTGGGTCTTTCTAGCAGCCTGATCACAAGAATCTTTAATACTGCCGCTAAATTAGACTTTTATGAGCCAGCAAAGGATTCTGAAATTACACCACATTCCAGCACTAATGCAGACACACTCCAACACACTGTGTTTATCAGACTCCTAGGTTATTGTTCAGGTTCAGACCTCTTTGATGCCAGAGACGTTGGTTTCCCACATTCAATATTGACGTCTGTCCAGGCACAACAAAAGGAGGCAACTGTTGTGCAGGTTTCTAACAGCTGGCACATGGATATTTTGTAAAGCCCTGATTTCCCCAGCTCAACTGCCATTAAGTTCAAAAAGCAACCTTGTGAGAAGTGTTCTGGCAGAGCATCTGAAAAGGTCACTGTCACGTAGTGTTGCAAAGAAAAGTGTTTTAACACAAAATGATTCCCGAAAAGGTCTCTGCTGCGGAACGGCGGGAAGTTGAGTAGTCTGTAAGCCGATAAAATTACACCTTGCAAGAAGTAGCTGCTATTTCTGTGCACCTGTTTTTTCTGTGCCCAGGCTATGGAAATGTTAATGTTCTCGGTGGCTGTGCACAGCAGGTTCAGACACTGTTGGGGCCGTGAAAAGTGATGTATGTCAGCCATAATAATTTAGCACCCACTGCCAGCTTGAATACCTCATTTCTACAACCCCACCTTTCTACCCCAAAAGGAAACGTAGCCGGCGTCCGAATGTAATTCACCTAAAATAATACTTTGTTTTAAGCTGTGTTCCTCTGTGACTTCCATTCATCTCCATACATGGTTCAAACGTCACATAGGCAAAAAAAAAAACATTCCTATGAAAGGAAACACTGACTTCGACGATGTCGTCAGCTTTCCCATAGGAGCTAATGTTCTCGTATTCGTGTCCGGAGAATGTTTCATTGCTGCCCACAAAGTAAAAAACATTTATAGAAGATTAACCCTAATAACCCTCTGTTGCCTTACAGCAAGTGTTCCTCAATCATGTGTGTGAATGGATAAAGGGATAAGTCTTTAAAACTGAAGGCATGGCTGGATGCAACAACTTGGGGAATTACTGCAATTCTTTACCTACGCACGTGTACATGATAAAGTACTATACGTTGTTACAGTAGTGTGGTGTCAGCAATGGTATTTCTCTTAAATCAATACTCGTGGAAAGTACTGCTGACCTCAGGCCTGTGTACTGACTGTCCGATGTACTCCTTCTGTATCTGTAAGAGCAAAAGGAGAATGTCTCCTTTCTGTTCTACTGCCAGGGAAAATCTTAATTCTGCTCAGGTCTGCTCCTTGACAGCTCCTGAATGTTTTCGGTTCATTAAATTCAGATGTTCCTTTCTGCACCACTACCTCTGACAAGCCCATAAAAAAGTGAAATAAGAAAAACCCAAAAAGGCCAAAGTTTATTTAATCATTAAGGCCTTGACTGCCAAATTTTAACATTCTCTTTCACTTTTCTTACTGGAGCAAAGTTTTCTAGGTCAAGGCATATCTTGAAAATTTACCAGTGACTGTTCACATAAACAAGCTGTTTTTCAGATGTCGTACACGTGTATGAACCCTGGTTCCCCCCCACACTCCCTTTCCCTGTGAAGCAGGACAGCAATAAAAATTACTTTCACTTGGGTTGTCCAGGAGGGTTGTGTAGGCAGGCCAAACATTGCACTGGGAGCCGTGAAGTGATGTGCAGCTACTGTGGACAATTACCATACATGCATGCATCTACACCTCAAAGGTCACCTGATTCTTTGTGCTTTAAATAATGAGGTTTTGCTTTAAATAAATCGATAAGTATTCACTGCAAGGCTAAGAGGAGATCTGCTATAACAAGGAGTATAGAGTACTGCTACTGTAAAGGAAAGCTACCACTTACATAACTTTATCTATTTACACCACGGTTTCAAAATGACTGAGACACAAACTGATAGCAAGACTACAATGACATAGATATCTGTATTAAACTCTGACTTTTTATTAATTGGCTCATCATTCAACAATATTAGAAAACAGAGCCCTCAAAACAGACTTAAAAACAGTATATAAATAGTCAAACTTAGCAGACGCAGACAGCTGTTTCTCCCTCAGTTAGTGCTCATCAGCATGGCACGGTTAACCTTGACTACTGAAAAGGTAAACGCTTGCTCTTTAAACGCTGTCCTGACAGGTGTTAATGGATAGATATGCACAGAAGGCAATTCAACAAAACCTTTGAAAAAACAGTTCCTAGTATGATTATCCCCCCCAATTAAAACAACACAAAATATATTTCAAATGATACCAAGGCACCGTTTGAAAGTCCTCTGATCCAACATTTTGATTCATTAGGGATGATTCTCTCGCCTATTTTATCTGTGACCTTACAGGAGGCAGGTGCTTTCCCTTCCTTTACAGAGCCCATCTGATGAAAGGCAAAGTCAGCTGAAGGATACGAAGACGTTGGGAAAGTAACCTCCAGCCGCAGAACTTGAGGGGTGTTCAGAACGTGTGGGGCTCAGGCTTTAAAGCTCTGAGCGGCTCCGACGAACGTTCAGAGGGCTTCTGTATCATCAGCCATTCAGCTGGATCGTGACTTCAGACAGTGGAAAAGAAAGAGGCAGTGCCTCATCTACGGCTGAATGAGGCTGCGATCAACCCGTCAGGTACTGCCTGTAATTCTTGCATGACTTTCCTGTTAACATTGCGCTGCTTTCGTTTCTGTCTCAAGGGTGATTCAGGAGACCGGAGATCAGTGAATCACAAGAGAAAAGCCATATTGCCTAGCTCACCTGAGACTAGCGTCTCACATGCTCTCATCCTTATTAAGGTAGGGGTGCCTGCTTTAGCCCAGAACGGAGAACTGGATCATCTGGGCATAGTACAGCAACAGTTTTTTTTTTTTTAAAAAGCCCAATGCAGCATATGTAAAACATAATTTTGAAAGCAATCATTTTTCAAAGGCAAAAGGCTTATGAGTTTAGCCAAACGTTTCCCATGGTTAACGTGATTATTTTAAAATATACCAAACATTTTCTATTTTTCGCTTGTGTGTTTGCCTAAACATGACCAAAACACTTAAACTGAAAAAGAATCTTGTTCGCCTCTCCTTTTTATATAAAAAAAAAGCCTCTGCCCATATAACAAATGCAGGATAAGCTGTTGCATTTTTAAATGATTGAAAAGTGTCAGATTCACTGTTGGGATACTGTCCTGCTGTTTTTTTCCGGTTCTAAAGAATCTTAAAGGATGGATTAATCTCTTTCATCCGATTATTTTTTAACTCGTTAGACTGCCGTACATTCTGTAGACATCCATCATTTTCTGTGGGACTGTGGGAGGAAACTGAAGCCGAGACAAAACCCACACAGTGAACACAGGGAGAACATTTAAACTCCACACCGACAGCCCCCAGGTCCAGAATTGAACCCAGGGCCTCAGTGCTGAAAGGCAGCAATCATAACCATTGCCCACTATGCCACCCACTCTTTAGGCCCATACTAATTAGTTATTATCAGCTAGCTCAATAAAGTTCTGATAATTAGCATTCACTTCACAACATGAGATGCTACAAAAACCCCGTAGGTTTTAACTCCTCTTCTATTTTTAATGCAACTAACACATTATCTAATTGCAGGGCTCATATCTTCAGGGATTAGCTGTCGTGCATAATCCAACTGTAACTAAGTGGCGCTTGTCAACTCCTTACGCTGCTTGTAATCAGGCTGCCGAATGCCATGGGCACAGCCACAGCGGGCAGCAGGACGTCCTCATGACCTTCGTGTTGGTCACCACTCCTTTGCCATACACAAGACACGCATGTTCTGAGGATGGCTCCTGTGAGGAGGGCTTTCTGGGGAGACTGTGTGGAAACAAGACAAAACGGATTCATTTTTACATTACAGGCAGCAATACACTGTCGAAAAGAGCTTACTAATTAGATGTGTCAGTGTGGTCCAAAGAGCAGACTGGCTCCTAGTACGGACATGCGTTGTGTTAGCTCATGTTGGGACAAACAAAACCATGCCATAAACAGCTCACTTTCCATAACAGACAAATTCAAAGACCTTGAAGAAACAGAGGGTCAAAACAGTGTTTTTTGCTCAAGCCACTGCCTGCACCACACAAAGATGATGAGCTGCAAATGTTAATCCATAAACACATCACACGGCTGAGCACATGCTGAGCTGAGGAAAGCTTCAGTTTCCTTGGCCACTGGAAAGCTATCCATGGCCCAGATTATCTGCACAGATACTGAGCAGGATGAGGAAGGTGGGCAGTAGGCAAGGCTTGGTTCAAGGCTTTGCAGAGAAATTCCAAACAAATTCAACTAGCATGGGAAAAAAAAACTACAAGAAAAAGACAAAGGGAGTGGAGTCGGAAAGAAAAAAACACCTGTCATAGAAGCAGGAAATTAAAGTCCATATACCTTTCATCACATCAACTAGCAGTTGAGATGATGTAATCAGAATCACAGAAAAATTACCAAAAGAGAGCCATGGTGAAGAAAGCACTTTTAGCATATACAGCGGAGTGGGGGTGTAAATATAACTCTAGACTACACAGAAGACCTTTAAGGTTCTCACAATCTATATGGGGCTGACTTTCAAAAACACATTCAGAAGGCACATTGTTAGGAGCATGCTACAGACCACCAGCAGGAGATATCACCTACACAGCCAGCTTATATAATGAATTCAGGAATGTATATGTAAAAGAAGAAGTGGTTCTAATGGGCGATTTTAATTTTCCGAATACAGTTTGGGAAAAACGATAAGAGTTTTCAAACTTTCTTACACAGTTTTTCAGAACACCCACAAGAGGGAAATCTTGTATCTTTTCAGATAATCAACGTAAAGTGAGGAAAACAACCGAGAGAAACATTGGGGACCTGTGATCATAATTGTACCACACTCGACCAAAGGTGTAGAGTCCAAAGAAAAAAGAATTATGATTTCAGACTGTGAAGGAATGAGAAATCGCTTCGGAGAAGGGGTTGAATAGATAAGGAATCAACAGAGGAAGGTTGGTAAAAGTTTAAGGTTATCAAGCCTGAAGTACAGAACAGAGTCATCCCTAGAGGAAGTAAATTAAACACAAGAAAGTAGTGGCCCCAATGATTCTGTAAATCCCTTCAACCATTTTTTAACCAGCTAACGTCACCCAATTCAGAGCCACGGGGGAGCTGGAGCCTATCCCAGCAAGCAACGGGTACAAGGCAGGATACACTCTGGATGGGACGCCAGTTCATTGCAAGGGCACACATTCACACCAGGGCCGGTTTTCCCAGAAGCCAAGTAACTTACCAGCATGTCTGTGCACCACAGCACCCAGATGAAAGCCACATGAACACAGGGAGAACATACAATCTCCATGGAAACAGCACCCCAGGTCTGAAACTGACACCAGGGCTCCGGCACTGCAGGGCAGAAATGCTAATCACTGCATCACCTTGCCAAATATTAGAATCTAAAATAATTAAAGAAATTAATGAATGAACGTTTTTATGCACCATAAAACCAGAAGAACAGAAAAGAATTAAGTGTTTTTATTTTAAATTGTATTAGTGTAACAGGAAGAGGTGTTACAAATATTAGAAGCACTTAACAAATCTTCAAGGCCCCATGATATTCTACTGATTGTACTAAAGGAAACACGAGTTGTCATTCATAGACCATTAACACAAAAGTTGTCATTCATAGGCCATTAACAGAACGTTTTCAAGTCACTCAAGACAATGGTAACATCCACTGACTAGAAAATTGCTAATGCATAGCCCACCCATAAAATGGTATTACAAAACCAAAGAAACCAATTACTCACCAACAAGTTTTGTTTCTTTTACACAATAAGTAAAAGAAGCAATAATTAAACCTAAACTTGATGATCATCTGCATTGCAATAAGATTATAGACAATAGTCAGTGTGAATTGAGAAAAGGTAGGTGTTGTTTAATATGTTATAGTTCTGCGAATAAGCAATAATGTACAGTAGTAACACAGATCATATAATAGGATGTATTTTTTAGATTTTCATTTTTTGCTTCTGATAAAAATCCTCATTAAAGAGTATTTCTTCAATGGAAGGAGGTAGAAATTAAAGGCAATACTAGCTCTTGGACTAAGAACTGTTTAAAGAAGAAAAGAGTGTACAGATTTAACAGGTGAAAGATTCAATTAGTCAGACATCCCTAGTAGTAAACTGCAGGTTTCTCAGAATCAACAGTGAACATCAACCATAGGACACAAGTAGAACGTTTGGGGGAGTACAGTATATGTTAAATGATGCACAGAATGGACATTTCATGGGAGTCATGGGATATCCTTTCTTCTTTCAAGAAACAGCCGAATGAGATTTGTGGATCACCTTACTTCATGCAACTAAACACACGTGATGGACTGAACATTTTGATTGCCAGCTCTCTCCTTCATTCCAAGGCATGAAAAGCACAGAAACTTAAATGTCATCAGTTTATTGAAGATATGTCTAATAAAATTTTTAAATTAAAAAATATGTAGTTTTAGTTTAATTTGCTTGTTTAGAAGTTAAGAAAGTGTTGGAGGCTGTAACTACGTGGCATCTAATTTTCTCTCCCCAGCCTGAAAGGCAGAAATGTCCCCAATTCTCCTGTATCTGGCTCTGTTATTTTTCATGGAGATAAAGTCTGAAATTTGGGTCATTCTCCTTTCCCCCAGGTTTCATAAAACAGGCCAGTGAGCAACGGGGAAGGTAGGGAGAGAGGGGGTGGGATTTTTAGACAATTTTCATGCTCTGGGTAAAAGGACGAAAAAAATCTATGAGGAATTAATTTTTCACAGTGTATTAAAATAAACTGACCCATTATTTCACATACCTCCCTACGGGAAGTTAAAATTGAGGGAATTGAAACTGATGAGTTAAACAACTAAATATAATGCAGATGACCCAAAACTGTTGTTACAACATTTAGTGTTGTTGTTCCCAAGGTTCTGAACTCCTCTAAGCAAGCAAGCAACACATTTTTTTTTTGTGTAGTCACAAGAACATGACTTCTTTTCTTGACCTGGGCCTCTGTTGCCCTGTGTACAGCATTGTATCCCAACTGAATGTTATCTGGCAGGAGTGCTTAAAAACAAATTTGACCGTGAAACAATAAAAAGTACAAAAAGAACATGTGACACTTTCATGTGTGGTGTGGAAGCTAATTTAGAAACCCTTTCCACCCTCACCCTGGAAGTCAGAGCTCTGCTGGCCACAGAATACACAGGCTTGGTCTGATTTAGACTAACAGGAATCTTCATTGAGACAAGCTCAAAAAGGATTGAAGGTCAAACACAAAGAAATGTATCCTTTATCTTGGTTGCACTGTGTTAATAGTAATAATTCTTTTAGGAGTGTTTGGTAAGTTTATTTCAGCCACATAACACCATCCCAATGCACAACAAAATAATTGCTTTACATAGTCTTTATGTGTGAAACGGGTTTGTTAGAATTAAATATTACATGGTATTTGAATCTTCTATCATATTATCAACATCAGATGAATTGGGTAAAAATCCCTCCTAGCATTTGAACCAGCTTTGAAATGACTCCCTTCCTTGAAGTTTGAAAATACAGGACTAAGTGTTTGGGTGGAAAACTCCGGTTTGATCCTTTTGGGAATCAATTAACATTAACATTCACAGCAGGGTTCCCCAGTTCTTGTTGTTAAAGCTGGTGTGTGCAGCTTTTCCAGATCTCTTTAAAACAGCATCACCCGAAGAGCTGGGAGAAGCAGTTAAACTGGTCCAATTAAACGAATGATGATCTGATTCAGGCTGGTAAGAACCCTGTTGAACTGAAAACCCACAGACACAGGTGACCTCCAGCACTAAGCTTAGGGATACCTTGTTTATTGCCACAGTGTAAGACAGGTTCCTTGGAGATACACAAAAGAAGAACATGACGTTAATACAAATATCTTAACTGAAAGGAGAAACCGACCTCAAAGGGTCAGTTTGTGATTCAGTCTTACAGTGCAGCGGCGGGGTTTAATGGGGTACTTCTTTCACTAATGGACATTGCGCAAGGGAATACATACACAAAAAAGGAAAGTAAATGAAAATAAAAGGGAACTAGTCGGCATTGTTGCAGTACACATTTGTGCCCCCTTCCATACTTGTTGACATCTACCCTGAGAAGACTATGCAGTTTTTCTTTTCCTGTGAGTACAGTGTCTGAACACAGAAGCAAGAATAACAAACCAATGTGAATGACGGTGTAGCAAAATGCACATTGAGTAAACTGTTCTTTTAGTACTAATGTGATCATCATTTAGGTTCCAGGAAGGGCAAGGATCAAACTACAACATATGTGGCCACTGCTTGTATGTGACAGATGGCTTGTTGATGGGGGAACGTCCAGCATTTTTGAGTGAGCAAGACACTTTTATTAGCTAAATAAAACCCATGGAGTGGCATGGTAGCACCACTGAGGCCCTGGGTTGAACTCCTGGGGTGCTGTCTGCGTGGAGTTTGCATGTTCCCCACACGTTTGCGTGGGTTTCCTCCCGGAAAGCTGATTGGCTTCTTTAAAAACAGGCCCTGTTGCGAGTGTGTGAGCGTGTCTGTGTGTGTACTGCGAAGTGCCGGCTTCCCATCCAGGGTGTATGCTGCCTTGTGCCCAAGGCAGGATAGGCTCTGGTTTCCCCTGTGACCCTGTACCGGATAAAGCAGCTAAAAAAATAGATGAATGAATAAAATCCACATTAGTCCTTCTGTGGAGCCTGACCTGCAAGGAATTCAGCGCTACTTTGATTCATAAAAGTCTTTCAGTGAAAGCTGACTTACCAGAAGCGACGTCAGCAGGTTTATGGTTCCAATAAAACAGGCCCGTCTTTCTCCCATCTCCATGCTTAACCCTCTTGCAGTAGTTTACGCTCGAGTCAGAAGACAGCGTTGTCATGAGAGGTTTCTTAGAAAAAAAAAAACCCCAGGAAGTAAAAGAAATCTGGGCTGAGAGAGTGACTGTGGGGGATCAGGCTGCATCGCTCTGGAATGGAAACCCTGCCTTTTGAAAACATAATTAAGTATGTTTATAATTCTGTGGTTAAAAGGCCGGCACAATTTTGAGTAAATCCATTAAAAGTAAAGGCCCATAAAAGCTTCTTATAGTGTCCAAACTGTGACAAACTTTTAAAAAAAATAACAAGGGGACTTATTTATAAAGTCAGGAAAAAAACATTTTAATGGAAAAGCTTTACTTTTTAATGAGGGGAAACTGTATCCATTACAAAGCAACATCCTGCGACAGGCTTTTTACTAGGCACTTTTGTCTCTGCTCTTCAACCAGTCGGATTCAATTTTTCACTATTAGCAAAACTGTTGTTGTTTTCTTGTTTTGAAACATACATTCCCTCAGAGATGTGTTGTACAGTGTAGGAAGCAAAGAGTTGAACACAGAGTGGTACTCTGCCTGTTCTACTGCATTCAGCATCAATCAGAACCAAACACACAAATGTACTGATCCGTCTATCACCATTAAATCTTCCAAGGTGCTTTTCCGAAAAAAAAACCTCAGCTGAACCAACATCTACAAACCGAGGTCCAGCAAAGTTCAAGGTCTACAAGATTTTTCAACAGGGCAAGAAACTTTTTCCGAAATAGAACCCTGCACAGCAGCGTCATCACTGAAAAATGTTAACCACGCTGTCGGCAGTTTCAATGACAGTGGGGTTCAGTGCATCAGGGGCTGCCATTCATCAACTGCAATGAAGTGCTATACTTTTGTCCCCATTCCTGTTTGATCTAATTTGCAGAAAATGAGACCCAATGTGTAACAATAACCACTTCTATTAAAATTAAATTCTATATGTAAAGCCCTTAAACATTCCATTATAAAACAGAGGTCACCTTGACCCCCTTGGCCTCTTACCATCCACCATAATCTAAATCCTTACCCTGAAACAGAAGCCTTCCGCTGAAGTTATAAAATGATTCAAGGATTATTTTGTATATTTTAAATATAACAACAGAAAAGTCCTGCCTGACTGAAATTCAGCATTCTTTCAAAAGCATTTTTAAGGAAAAAAAAACACGTCTTATCATAATCTAGGAGAGAAGGAAATGACTCTTAATCCTTTAATTTAAGAGTGATTTGCAAAGCTTCCTGCATTTTCTGAAAAAGAAAACAATATATATTTCATTTTTATGTACGCTAAAAAAGGTGCAGCATAATAGGACCATCAGTTTTATGCTCTTGTCTAATTAGAGAAAACAGTTTAATTCCCTTTGTCACAGTCCCACAAGCCCTTCCCAGCAGTCATTCAGTCAGACTCCAGGCGTATTGTTATCGAACAAGCTGTTACTCTTTTCCACCCATTCTCCCGGGATGCTGCAAAGGCTAGTTTTCAATCAGGATGAGCCCCTGCTCAAAAAACAAAAGGGTACGAAAATACCCCAAACGCCCCAAAGCAAGCTCGCTTACCATTAGGCTAAGTGAGCATACTTGCGATTTGTTTCCACTCAAGGTACCCCTTCAATAGGTATGTTCCCTGCCAGCCCAACACTCTAATTAAGTCTATGAAATTAAAATATGCACTCTAGGAAGTTCTCAACTGAGGTTTGAGAGGGATACTGACCGATAAAGCCAATGTCAACCAGTTGTTCTAATTCAAAAGCAATACTGTTGCATGCACCCCATCTCTACCTCTGCAGTTGCCCCTCCTCACTCTTCATGGGGGTCCTAGTCCCCCATACTGTGTCCTGGGAGCTGTCCCTTAACCATACGGGTTGAGCCAGTACTTAAACTACTCAACCATGCATAAAGCGTTTGGTTCTTGGATGTCATTTTTCCTTGTGGAATAAATATGAATATGCACCAGACCCTTCCCTGCTTTATTAGTCCGTGTCTCACTCTTTCTCTTTATGCACAGTACAGATGTTTACCTGGCTGTCAAGCTATGAGTCAGTCCACTCAATATTCCTATAAATATGATTATGATTCAAAACCAGTATCTATTGCTCTAAAGGATTTTATATACAGCAGCTGGCACAGATATACACACAGCATGATACATGTGACAAAGTAAAAAGTAAAAAAATTCCTCTGCAGAAGGGGTTATTATTCCATTGACTATTTTTATTCATTGTTCTACACTCTACTAAAAAGACATTCGAGAATATAGATCCAAAACAAATACATTTCTGGAAAGTTCAGATTTAGAAGATGCCATTTGGTTTATAAAAAGTCTGGACATTCCCACGCCATCTGTTTGAGATTCGTTACTATATTTGTAGGGGCACTTTCTCAGGTTTTGTCCCCACATTGCGAAAAATATGTGCCCACACACACGCAAACATTACCAAGTGAACGTGGATACGAAGTACAGTATACCGCTAACGAAGGGCCCCACCTTGTGGCCTCTTAGTGTAAAAAAATACCACGCTTAAAAATTGTGCAATACAAAAAAGAACAGAAATCACCGT